AGGCTGCAGAAAAGATAGCCAAGGAAATTGCTGAGTCTCAAGCTACAATTTCAAGGATGCACGCTCCAGTACATGCCAGAGCTAATGAAAGGTTTCTTATTTTTTCGTAGGTTTTTTCTAGTCCTGGAAAATTTTTTACGTGCCTTGAAAGATTTTTAGGATGGAAATCGTAAAGGAGAAGGAAGCAGAGACAACGGAAGAGTGCGAGATCGCCCGTCGGAAAGCTAGAAAAGCTCGACAGTTATTTGAAAAAATAAAAACTGAGCGCTACAGACGTTTTCAAGAATATTTTGAACCCGTTTCTCAAAAGATTGATGAGATCTACAAGGTTTTTATTCACTTTCATTTGGATTTCGTCAGTTAGTGTTAATTTGCTCAATATCACCATGCGGTTTGTAGTTGATTTCCTTTTAGGGAATTTATGTATTAATTAAAAGCGTTTAAGGATTTTGAAGATGAAAGTTCTGAGATTTTTTGTTCTATCTTTTAAACTTCGTTTCTGATTTCCTTCAAAAGAAAAATATCATTTATTGCAGCAACTGAGTAGGAATGAGAGTGCTCAGGCTTTCCTTGGGGCCGATAATATGGAAGAACCGTATTTGGAAGGTATTGCTTATAACTGTGTAGCGCCAGGAAAACGCTTCCGGCCTATGGATAATCTTAGTGGAGGTGAAAAAACAGTTGCGGCTCTCGCTCTTTTATTCGCCATTCATTCTCGTCATCCTTCACCTTTTTTTATTCTTGATGAGATTGATGCGGCTCTCGACAATACCAATATTGGGAAGGTGGGTTTTCTAGCGATTTGTATTAATGTGGGAGTAACAAGTTTGACTTCAACATATCTCATTTTAGCCTACTTTTTAAGTTGCACTACTGCTTGACTTACTGAGTGAGCTGCGAGTTATTTTCAAGTTTTAATCGCTACCTAAAACTAGTTTTTTTGTTTTGTTTTCATTTTGCTTACACTAACTTTTAGGTTGCTAATTTTATATGCGAACGAGCCAGACTTGATATGCAGTTAATAGTTATATCACTGAAAGAGGAGTTTTATAACAAAGCAGATGCGCTAGTTGGCATCTACCCACAGCCTTCGAACTGTACGACTTCTGGAGTCCTCACATTTGATCTCACACCTTTTAAACAATCAACCGCAGAAGCCATGGAAACAGAGTAAATAGCTGTAAGACCGACAATGGTCACTTTTCACTTGCTTTATCAACAATATCTGAAGTAACCTTGGCGGTTTCTATTTAAGGACGGTAGCAGAACATCACAGCTTTTCCTTCCACAATAAAGCCTAATTGGTAACTATAGCTGTATTTATTTCACTGATAAAATTTTAAGTTACTTCATAAATTTCACTTACTTTAGTTGATTTCCGCTTAGTTCTGTTCGCCAAAGTTAGATGTCTTGTTGAGGGATTTTACGCTTTTCGTTGCCTTTTGTTTTTCGTTGTTTTTTACATACTGTCAGATAAAGTTGGTTGATCTCTTCCTTTTAAATCAGTTTTTATATTTGTTTGAGAGCTTTAATATGTTGTAGGTGCTTGAGTTTTTAATATGTGGTTTGTGGTGCTTTTGTGCTTTTACTTTTATGTCTTCTGTATGGTAGTCTAAGTTCTTCCACACAAGTGCATTAATTTTAAATAGAGATTTACTAGCGGAGAGGAACTGTTAAAATTAAGGAATGAAGGTAGAAGCACAGCGCGGGATGAAAGGTGTCACATTATGGCGGAATTTGAAAGTTTTGCGCTATATTCTTGGTTTACATTTCGGCAAGCATTGAGACAGACGTATTAAACACACGATGCACCACGTGTCGAAGCAAGGCAATTGCTCTGCCACATTTTCTTTCAACTTCCATTGATGGATTTGTGTCGTAGTCGTTGCTGGAACATCTGTCGTTGATGTAAAGTAAATTACAGTTTGAATTCATTTGGGCGCACTGGGTTTGGTGGGGTTGGGCTATTGAGTGCAGGGATTAAATTAATGATGGAGTTTTGGCTCGGGGCCAATGCTGCCGTCAAAGAACAGGCCTATGTTGTTTGCGTTATAAAATA